AGTTCGACTCCTAATCTGGCTCCGTAGCTGCTCTATTAGTTCAGGATTCTGCTGCTGCATCTGCTGAGCAAACTGCTGGCCCCTGAAGGAGAACAAGCAACAGTCCTGTCAGTGCTCTCACGCGCACACAAACACGGCCTGGTGCTGGGAAACTCTTTACAGCTGACTGTCAAAACTCTAACAACTAGTTCACATCACCAAAAGAGGCAGTCCTTCACCCAACATTTGAGCCTTCCTCAACCGGTAAATTAAGGTTCCACTTCTGGTCAGAAAAACCCCAAATCCATTTACTGACCAAGGCAACGGGGAACACCCAGCTCTCTACTCACGCTTGTATGAGGCTGGCAAGATCATTCGTGGAAGGGCTGGTGCCTGCTGCTCCCATGGCGTTGTGGCCACCAGAAATCATCCCGGACATGCTGAGGAAATAAGATATTGCTCAGAGCAGGAAAAAAAGAAAACCCACAGAAATAGTTTGGTTTACACTGGGAGGGGACTGTCAGGATAACGGGACCTTCCCACACAGATTGTGAAGTTATCCGCAAGGGAATCTTCTGCAACAACTTTGTGCATTAACTGCAGAAGAGTCACTGCAACATTAAACTGCACAACATGTAGAAATATTTCCAATACCGTCAGTTACTGTATTCCCAGAGATTCCCCCTTTTGTGTGCAAGCCCTGTGTTATGTTTAATTAAAACACTGCCCTTCCTCCCATTTCCTTGCTCTGCATCAAACGAGATCTACTGACAGGACAGCCTAAACACCGATCCACGCACGGTGAACAGCCCAGAACACGCTGGGTCTACACAGCCCCTTCCTCTGGAAGTCCTCAGGCTGCATCTGGCACGGAACCTCAGCTGGCAGCGGCAGTGGAAGGAGCAGGCAGAAGCAAATGGAAATGGTGGCTGACGTTCAGCCCTTTAGCCGAACTATCTCATATGGTAATCAAAGGGTGAGCTCCAGAAGGTCTCTAACTCACTGCCCACCTGTGCTCAGGAGAGGTACCTGCCTTATTAATTTTATGACTTTATATTATCTAAGCATCTCACAAACGTTGTGAATTGATCCTCATAACCCTGTAGCACGAAGAATGGAAATGCTCTCATTCTAACGGAGATGGAGCTGACATCCTGTCTCCAGGTCACAGAAACACTGCGCAGCAGAGCCAAACTGACCCCGAGCTTCCCAAACCCAATTCCAGCGCCATGACCTAGCCTGCCCCCCTTCTGCAAACGTTTATCCTAAGATCCCTCTTCAGCAGTCCAGAGCGCTCAAAATACACGCTAGCTCAGGCAGCTGCTCTGGTTTAAAGGCTGCCCTCCACGCTTCTGGCCCAAGCACCCTCCCGCTCCCACCAGTCCAGACCGACTGCAAATGCCAAACACACAGAGCCTCAAACGAGGGATTCAAAGAGGAAATACAAGACGGGATCAAAAACTTACAGCTGTTGTACTTGTGGATTGTTCATTAGGTTAGATGCCTATTTAAAGAGGGGAGAAAAAAATGACACCCTATTTAGTCAGAAATGACTGGGTAGATATGCAGATGTTGTGCCATTCAATGACAAACAAAGCGAAGGCAGAAATACTTGGAAACAGATCAATAGGACAAAAATAGCTACGAGAAGCACAGTGCAACACACAAGACGAGGCTGGTAATGCAGAACAGGCACCCTTTCCACGTCCAGCACATCGCAAGGAGAAGCCTGTGAATAAGACACTGGCTCTTCATTTGACTGACCTTAATGAAATACAAGCACAGTTTCCTCACAGCAACACCGAAACCAAGACATGAAATGAAAACAAGTCTGCTGGAGAGACACAGGAGCTCCCCAAGCCATGTACCGAGACATTTCATCCCGAACAGACCAATGCACAGACCAGACACAGCCTGGCTGTGATCTGCGCCCAAATTTACCATACTCATGAAGCCAGGGTTGTTCAGCAAGCCCGCTAAATCGAATCCTCCCGGACCTCCGGTCTGTAGGAATAAAGAAGCCACAGGCAGATGATGACATCCTCTCACTTCCCGATGCACGTTACAATGAACATTAACACTTTACTCCCGGTGTTATCAGAATCTGGCCTTCAACCACAACAAAGGGAAGAGGCTCTGTCCATGCCCTTCCTGTGAAGTCAGCCAGCCTCGGGGGAGGCTCACTGGGGGAGTCAAAGGGCAGATGTCTGCATTACATGGCTTACTGATCACCTCTCACCAGCTGAGCCACATTAGCGATGTACAGCTGTAACCCATCACAACTGCCAAGTTAAACACACCCACTTGGTCACCTTTGCACTGGAGAAGTCTTTAGAAAATTAAAGTCCCCTTCAAAACGATAACTAACATCTTCCTGCACAGAGCATGTCAGCAGCACGGTCACCAGCTTTCTGACTAGGAAACCTTCAGGTTTCTTAAAAATATTCGTAAGAAAAAAAGCCACATAAAATGCCCTTTTAGTACTGCTAACAGGTCACTAGAAAAAGAAAAAAGCTGGATTTTAGGAGTAGTGACTTTAAGAAATGTGCTTAAGGCAAAATTGCTGCTTCAGAACACCCCTTTCTCATCAGTCATTTTCCAGCTCTTTCAAATAAGCCCAAGGTGACCATGCTCAGGCAGTGAAGAGAAGTTACACGCTCCAGATTTTAGTGGAAATGTTCACAGCAGGACTCATTAACTATCTCCCCTCTGCCTGCATGCAAGATTTGTATTCTGAACACAAGCCAGGTCATCGAGGCTCTGCCAGACAGCGCCTGTTAGCACTTACGGTGAAGAAGCCTCCTTCTAATCTTACCCACATATAACAAGCATTAGTTTCAGAACTTACTGGACTAGGAGTCTCCTTCATTTTCTGTTCAGCTATTTTAAGATTTGATTTGTACGTGTCATTGTCCGGATCCAGCTCCAGGGCTTTTTTGTAGTAAACAACAGCTTCTGTGTGTTTATTTAAACTGGAGAGGGCCAAGCTATTAAAGTGGAAATAAAATAAAGTTACAGAGAAGCACTTGCAGGCTTCCTCCATGCCCAGCAGAGGTGAAACACTAGTATTTTTGCATGGCATTCCAGGGCAGAACACCACTGATAATATCACTGCCACTAGGCACTTTGAGATTAAAATTCTGGCACAAAAAACCCCTGCTCTTACTTACCCCATTCTGCCATAAGCTTTGCTGTAGTTTGGATCAATGCCTATAGCTCTTTCACAGTCTCTCACTGCTCCGGCATAATTTCCTAGTTTACTGTATGCAGCAGCTCTGGAGGGAATGGAGAAAGACATGCAGAAAAGACTTACCAGCTTGAATACGCTGATTAAGGTCACCCCTGTTCCCTCTCCGTAGTCTCCTGTTGTACAAGGCAAAGTCAAGTGTGAACTTGACATAAATCCAGGGCATATCTAGGTGAGCAGGCTGCTATCCAAACACCCGGCTCCACGTTCTGCTCCTACTGCAAATAAACCGAGGCTCTCACTCCTCTTCATGGGCTTTCCAAGAGGAGCCTGGGCTTTGGGGAGGCACACAAGTATCACACTTGCTAGCACAGTCTCTCCCAGCTTCCCTTATGCCCTGATTTCTTGGTCATAACGACTGTTTCATCCATTTCCCCACACATTCCACGTAAGAGGGGAAAACTGTTTTTGAAGCCATAACATGCTCATTCAAGGCTCCATCTCGCAGCTCTTGCGGACATCAGGGCACCTGCCCAAAATCTCATGGGACTGACCCTCATGCAGTTAAAGCAAGGCTTAGCTAAAAGCACCAGCTGCAGCTCCTTGCCCCAAGAAATACCTCACCATGTCATTAGCATGTGTGCAGACACTGATTCCTGTAGCCGGCTGTACGTACATACTCATGATAAGCACAAACTAAAACAAATCCTGACTGGAAGCCTGTTTTATTCAACAACTGTCTTCCCGCCAACTTCCAAATGCTTCTGCTTAGAACTGAAAAAATAGGAAATTCGCTTGCATACCCAATTTTGCACACACATCAACTCACACAGTTCTCAGTAACGAGCCTTCAACTTGTCTCATTTCACTCCTTTGTTTGTTATCAACACAGCCTCTCAAACCTGGGCTCTCTATCCCACTTAGAGTTAATTGCATGAAAGCAGACAGTATCACTTGGCATCCTTCTATCTCCTCAAATGCCTAATAGAGTTTGTTTCCACGCCCACATCCTATCTAGAGATGCCAGGGCACAGAGCTGGCAGGAGGCACAGGAATGTGTCACTATGAGCTTACAAAAAAGCCACACAAAGAGCAAGCAACAGAACAAGCAGTCTACAGAACCGCAGAAAAGGGATTTTGACCATTCAAGAGTCTTAGCTGTAAGTAGTAAGAACAAACACGGGTGTACAAGGGTGAAGAAAGATAATCAGTACCTGTTGCAAAAATACACAGCATTGGATGGGTTTAATTCAATTGCTTTTCCATAGAAAGACACAGCAGCTTCAAAGTTTTCTGCCTTCATTTGTTCATTTCCTAAAGAGATGGCAGAAAGGCTCACGAACGAGTGAAAAATGGGGACAAAACAAAAGCAACAGGCCTGGATCTACGTTCTACTTAAGAAAAACAGAACAGGAGAGAAACCAACCACTTGCAACTTGTGCCGGTCAAAGCGCTTGCAAGTGAGAGTCGTGCTCAGCAGCGAGGTAGGGGACCCACGTCCCGGCAATTCCAGGTTGCCTGATCCCGCAAGCCCCCTTAGCGCCCTCAGCTGTCCTCCCACCTCGGGCACACCTGAGGCCTCCCCAGAGCAGCACTGCATCCTGAGAAGCACTGCAGTGCCTTGGCTCGGAGAAAGCTCTCCACTGTGCTTCAGCACTGATCGTGCTCTCTTGCACGGCAGAGAAAAGGCAACACGCAGAGGAGAGCTCAACAGGAAAGATGCCCTTTTCTACACAGCGCGGGCTGCTCAGGATGCAGAAGGAAATGCTGACCCAGCTGTCTATCTAGGCTCTGTGGCAGCTAAATTATGCCGACCTACACACACTCCTGGAGCACAAGCAGAGAAACAAGCAGAAGTGGAAGGGTTGATTCCATCTGCTTTCTTCCCCATTCCAAGCACTCCCCAGGCACTGAGTGAATTAAGCCTCCCTCCCCATTATCATCTAAACCTCATTATACACCAGCTCCAGAGGAGGTTACCTTCAGTCTTGAGTCTTTCGGCTTCAGCTATGTCATCTTCAGAGGGGGTGATGGGCTCCGAATTTGTTCTGATGTGTTCAGGCTCCTTACAAGGAAAGGGAGAACGCTGTGCTGCAATAAGGACTCCCACTGAGATGTACTACGCCTCCCCCTTCCCAAGCGCTGGCTTGTCAAGCCCAAAACATTTCACTCCTACACGCCTCCGAGGGGGCAGCATCGCCACAGAAATCAGAGCTCACTGCTTTGGCTGCTTAAATTGAAACTCAGCGCATATTTTTGGGCACTCGCTCACCTTTCCTGCAGCAGCTTCGAATATTTCAGGAAGAGTCTGGGACACAGCTAGGCCTTGGTCCTCCATCGAGACACCAAATGCTGTCTCCAGGCACTGGATGGCCACTGGACAAGAAGAGTCAGGTAATCAGCTTCCCCCATTCCATCTAAATACTTAGCCTCCTCCCATAGCACCTGAATTTCTTACCGTTGAACGTACCAGGAAAGAAAAACCACCCTAAACCACACAATTCCACACACTGGACTCAGTATTTGGGCCATATCCTCAAATTTTGCCCCAACCTCAGAGCTGGGCAAACCTTAGCTCTGGAGACCAAGCTCCTGGATCGAGTCAGTCACAACTCCCGTCCCCTCAGGTGACTCCAGAGCAGGTGCTGGGGGCAGAAGTTAATCAAACTGGGGCTTTACTTGCCCTCCCGCAGCCGTGGGTGGCAGAGAGCAAGAGATCTGCATGTTTCAGGAAATGGTCACTTGCCAGAGGGTGGCTGCTCTGTGAAGCACTTTGGCCACGCAGAGGTGCATGGACACCAAACACTGGGTCCTGCGGGGGCTGCGGCTGCCCCCACCTCCTCCCTCATCAGGCACCTGGTGGGGAAGCTGTTCCCAGCACAGAGGGGAACCCCAGCAACATAACAGCGCTCAGTTTTACAAAACTCTGCCATATTTTACAATCCAAAAGCACCAGGAGTAAACCCTTCCACCCACCCTCTTCTCCTGCCTCGCCCAGGAATGTACCCAACACTCTGAAGACGTGCCTGTGCTCTCTTTCAGTGGGACAAATGTACAGGCCAAAGACTAAAGCGTAAGCTCCTTAAGTGGATCTTTTAAGACCAGGGTGCTCTCACGACCAGCGAAGCCCTCTGAAAAAACCTGTATAAATACTCCAGGGCGTGGTGTGGAAAAGCATTTTGATAGCAGAACAGGGAAAGCACTCCGCAAGCATAAAACACTTCCATGCAGCCACAAAGTTCTCATTTTACACTACGAGCCTCCTGACTCCACCTCATTTAAGATAAAACTTTTAAGTCACAAACCCAGGGTCAGGGAGGCTTTTGATCCCAGGTATATCCCTTCCTCGAGCTAATCTGCTTTTGAAAGAGATAACAAGAAATCAGATAAGCAATCAGCATCCCTAATGCCCTGGGATACCTCCCCAGGAAGACAAATTCACTTCAAATCTTGAGCAAGGTTTGATGTTAGGAACAGCCCAGCCAAGTAAGAGGCAGAGGAGAGCAACAGTGTCCAAATTTCCCGAAGCGTCGGGCTGACAGAGCTAGACACGTGAATAGGGAAGCGCATACAACCACCTACCTTCCAAACTCTCCTGAGCATCTGGAGACAGACCCCCGTTCTGCAGCTGGTCATGTAGAAACTGGATGATGGAGTAGGCAAGGCGCTTCTGGTCTGCCATTCTGGGAGGCTGTGAGCAGTTTGTTTCAACTTCTTGTAACTTTTAAAATATCTGGAGAGAGAGAAGTTATATGACTTGATGGACAAGAAGTCAAAGAACTTTTCTGCTGCTCTCCCCTGGTATGAAAGGGGAGGGTAAGGGAGTTGTTCAGGACCGGCCAAGGCCTCCAGGGCCTTCGTTAAACTCTCTGCTGTAACCACGACCCCTTTACGTGAACCCTCCAGGCCTCAATTCACCCTCTTCAGCATGAGCTGCACAGCACAGTCCTGCCCCACAAGGCTCCTGCCAAGGGAAATACGTAGAGGGTGTTGCAGGCACTTGGGATACCAAAACGCCTCTGACTGACCAGGACTAGACAAACTGAGCGCTGAGGAGATCACCACTAAAAAAAGCCACAGTCCCCTGCTTCCAGAGCATAATTCGATCCTGAAACAAAAACAAGGGCTGAAGCAATTCGCCACCGTTAGCGGAGCTGGGGTTCAGGGCTGCCAATCCTCCGCGCTGCTTGCCAGTCCACATCACCTACCCCGCCAGGATGCCGACGGTAAAGGAGAGTGAGGACACAGGTAGGAAAGCGACCCCCGTAAGCAGTCCCCAAGGCCGGGGCTTCGCAAAGATCCCAATGCAGGTCCCATAAGCAGGACAGACGCAGCTGCTTCCATAGCATTGCCGCTGAGCTGCAGCGCTCCGCCTCGCCTGAACGCTTAACTGGGTTTGGGGCACATAAGACCATTCAGGGCGATTTTATAGAGAAAGTAAATTGTTTAAACACAACCTCTGTGAGAGAGAGCCCAACAGAGCTAAGCTGGCCCCAACCCACTGAAAGACACGGGAGACACGGCCGGCCCCAGCCGCAGACGGCCACGGCGGTGCATGCCTTGGGCAAAAGCCTGTGCCGGGCTCCCTGCCCCAGCGACAAGCGAGGCCAGAGAGCCCACAGGCCCTCCCGGGCCCCCGGGGGCAGGCAGAGCGGAGGGAGGCACCTCTCCCCGCCCACAGCGCCGGG